GCATACTTTCCACAACTTGGTGTTCCATCAACTTTCCTTCGTTCTGCTAGCTGCTATGGGCTAGCCATTGACCCATTAAATCCTGTAAATATGTCTAGTAGGGCCATTTTTTCATTCTTTCATAACTTAAAGTCGATTCCTTCCTTCTTTCCTTTACCTACTCACTTGACTCCAGATTATGTGCAACCTCCATCCACCTTAGATAGTGCGATCACTTCTTTGCTTGTTTGGGTTCAGGGTTTGATTGGGAGAGAACTGTTCCACGACATTTTAACTGGAACTAATATGAGTGTATGTGTGTGAGAGAGAGTTAAAATTCATAAAAATCATGGCCATTATTCAGAAAAGAATAATTTGAGAAATTGACATTTTTATATATTATATAGTGTATAAATAATATTATAGACTTAAATATACAAGTACTGGAATAAAACCATAAACGCACAAGAAGAGTATAAATAACACACTCTACAAATGACATTACAAAATTTTGAAAATTATTAAATACGATCTTTGGAATTTGCATTTTGAGAAAAGCTCTCCAGCCAATATGGTTATTAAATTGACTTGTCAAACATCCAACGTTTTTTAGAAGGGACTAGAAATTGGCCGGCCATGTCCTTCAAAATTGACATCTTATTTGCCATTATATGACTAATTTTCAACACGGACACGGGGATATTCTATTAATTCTTCACCACAAAATTCCACTATCTTCCAAAACAAATTATGAGTTCCCCCGTAAGTGAGTTTTCTACGAATAATACTTGCTTGACAAGTTTGAAATTTCAACAATATTTTTTAGTAAGTTGTTTTTAATCCTTCAAGTTGGAGTGGAATTTTTCAATTCTTCAGATTTTACAAGCGATCACAAATAGAAGCATGGATAGGCAGAACTATATTCTGTATAGGAAGTTCAACCTGATTCTTATTTCTGCAGCAAATCTTCCAAATGTCCATACATATTCCAAACCCAAAATGTATGCCAAAGTTTCATTCTGTGGTGACAAGAAGACTGAGCAGCGAACTCAGGTCGACAAGGATGGCCTGTTGAATCCAGCATGGAATTATACAATGAATTACAAAATTGCCGAATCAGGTATTACGCACAGCGGCCTCCAACTGGTCATCAAATTGTACTGTAAGAGAAGAACACTTAGGGATCGATATGCCGGAGAGATTCACAAATCCGTCAAAGAACTTTTTGATGATGCTCATAACAAGGGAGGCAGTGACACTTTATCTCTCCCAATCACGAATGGTTCTGCAGAAACAGGTGGGGTTTTGAATTTCTCGTACAAATTTGGGGAGAGAAAGCAGAAGAAAAAACCAGGTTTTGTTAAGAGAATCCTGCTTCCTGGTGCTGGTATTTTGTTGCAGGTGGCAGGTTTAATAACACTTGGAGTGGATGTGCCAGTTTCTTTTGGAGCTAAACATAATATTGTTGATCCAGATAAGTTGAACATGAAGAAATGAAATGTCCTTAAAAGTTAAAAATCCTCCACATATTTGTTTCTCAGTATTTACATATATGTGCTATTAGATACGACTTCTGTGTAAAATGGTTAAGATTTTAGTATCAATAGTAACCATGGCTCGACTGTAACAACCTTCCTTTAAATATGTTATACAAGTTTTCAATCAACCAAGTCCAGTTCTAATCAAACTAATTTTGGGGAAAACATGACATTTGCCTTTCATTTCTTTGGAAAAACAAAACATATTTCATTTTTATATTTTTACTTGAAATTAATCACCCTGTGATCGTTCGTAAATCAGCAAGTTTACCGTATCGCGAACAAATAATAAATTGAAGAGTAAAGTATCGTTCCCACGAGAACCACGTACTTAATCTAGTGTTAATTATCGTTAACTTTTATTGAATAGTCAAATTTGTTTGAAGAATTTATGCTACTTAATTAATTAAACTAACTATTCGAATTAGCATTTTATGACAATATGTGCACGTCTGATTGATCAATGTTTCCAAGTTAACTAATAGTATGTCTCGATAACACTTAAATCTATCGTCACTTTTGACAAATCTAATATGCATGCCAAATTTTCAGTTGTGCTACACTTATATTCTGGTTGACATCATCGATGACATTCCATGCTGTGGAAATGAATTATGCCATTGATTTCTCCAACACTTA